GCTTTGTTGAAGGAGGTATGCCACTGGGTCAGGCTTTGAGTTTTCAAAAGACTTGCACCAATCTGAATTTGCTGTCTCTGCCTCCTAGGTATAGATCAATATGTGAGCTCTCAGTTACCGCTCCAGCATCATGCTTGCCTGATGCCATACTCCCTGTCATGATGGCCACGGACGGACTCTTAACTCTGCAAACCCTCCCAAATAAATTCTTTTAGAAGTTGTCCTGGTCATGGTGTTTTGTTTTGTTTTGTTTTTTTTCTCCTCACAGTAATAGAAAAGTAACTAAGACAAATGCAACCCATTTATATCAGTCTCTAAGAGCTAGGGATGGAAATGCACGACTATTATACTCCCAGCGTTCAGAAAGCAGAGACAGGACAATGAAGGAGGTCAAGGCAAGCCTGGGCTACATAGACTCAGTCTCAAAAAAAATAACCCCCCCCCCAAAAAAAAAACCCCAAACAAACCAAAAAAAAAAAAAAAAAAACCAGCTCCTAAATGTAGCTATCCACTCACTTATACCATAGTCCATTCTGGGTAAACTCTGAGATGCCACTGATTGTAAAGTATGTCTGTATTTCACGTATAAACAAATAGGGAGTAAAAAACGTTAACTAGAAATTCCTGCATTAGAGATGTCTTGGCATGGATGGACAGATGGATGTAGTCCCTGACCACCTGGTTCTTTCACCCCAGTCTTGTGTCATGGCAGCTCTGTCCCTCGGTGGCTGGGGACCTTGGGAAAATTGCTTCTTATAAACTGCATGAACAATTCCGACTCTTCACTCTGTTACTGACAGAATGAAACACGACCTTGTTCAAGTATTAAGGAAGTGCCTAGTGCTTAGCTCTCTCACTGACGCTGTTCCTACAATGACTGCAAGTGTGGAATCAAGACATTAACGATTCTTAAATGCCTGCCTTAAACGAGCTCACCTAGTCGGAGTTGCCAAACCTGTAGACATTGTTTGAAATAAGCAGTCACGGCTCTGCTGCCTCAGTGCCTGAGCTCTCTAGAAACAAAATGAAATCATCTTCTAAGGTGGAGCCAAAGCACCTTCCTAAATGGAAGAACAGCACGACCGACCGAGAAGAGCTGCTGACTCAAACACAATGGGTAATCGTTTGCATACTGCTTCGCATGACATTCTCATGCTCCCGGTTCATTTTTGCTTAAAGGGAGAAATCTACCCGCCATCTGCCTCCTTCCTGGCTAGTCCCTTAAGATCCCGAGGTGTTGAGTTGACTACCTTTGCCTGGGAGAAGTAAAGCAACGGAGTACCATGTGGTCCCTGCATGTTTCTCGATGGCTGGTGAGCTCAGCTAACACGAGAAGGGAAGTCTGTCTCCTCCGTGGACCAGGCCTCTGTGGACGCATCACCGGCCACTGTACACAGAGGATGGCTATTGAGACAAACACTGGGAAATCACAGACACTACCAGCACTGTTTCCTGAAGACAAGCTGGGAGCATACACATGGCGTGATAGCAAAATCACACGACACATAGATAAGTGGCCCAGAAAACAGTCCTTGACCATGGGCAGCCTCTCCATCAAATCAAAGCTCTCATCTCATGGGTACTCTGTAAGTAATTACAGGGTAGGGAAGGCCCAACAAAGATTTATTTTCACCCTGGAAACTGTCAAGGCTTAAAGTACAAACACATGACAGTTATTATCCAACAATGAAAAAAAAATTAGCACTTAATTAATCAGGGCTGTGTCGCCAGAATTTTCTGTCAGCTCTGACATGTTTTTTATTTTTAATTTTAATTAAATTTTTTTTTCTTAACCTGAGTCTTGGTTTACCTGACTGCTTGTTGGCAAATGATAACTTACAGTTTCATAGCTATGAAGACGATTACCTGGTAGTTCTTTCTTGAGAATAACAATGTTTTTAAACTGAAATGCCCATAATATATCATTAGTATGTAAAGTAGGCGGTGATGGTTTAAGATGACATCAGTATGTATCATTCAGGAAAGAGCTGCAAATAACATCTTAAGTGGTTCATAAATGATCACTGGACTAGCTTAGTAAAATACCAGTTTCTATTGTTCTAGGTTTCTTTCTGAATTATGATCCACATGTGGGTACCAAACCCAAACAATTAGCTATAAAACCCCAACTTTGTATTTGGACACTGGGATCTGAGTACCACAAATATAATTTAAACTTCCTGGGTTGCAGGGTAATTTTTATTCTGTGCATCACAGCTTTATTAAGAAAATGGGTATTTATTAGGCTTTTAAAATTAGAAATAAATGTAAAACATATTTTTCATGGGCACCTAGAAAAACAAGGGCCTCAGTTAAATTAAAAATTGAACAACAGGCTCTAAGAAAGATGTCACAGAGCTCTAAGAACTGTCACAAAGACTGGCTAAAGTAGCATGACTTTGCTTTCTGAAAAGTGTCACTCTCCTAGGCTGACCTTTAGCAAGCCATAAATTCTAGGTGTCACATCGTCCAGTGCCAATATGTTCATGAATGTGGAGACCACGGTCTGGAGACTGGTACCCAGGGTAAAATGGCTAAAGCTCCGAAGATGAACACTGGGAACTGGCGGGTCCCCGGGCAGGAGTTTCTGGGATTCACAAGCCATCTCATGTCTAGAGGTGGCTGTAAAGGAGCCTGGATCCTAAAGCAGCCGGTATTACAGGAGACAGGCAAGAGGCTGGGGAAGAGTTACAGTTCTGAAAAAAGGAGGCTCTGAGCTAAAGATATCCTGGACACGGACATGGAGCTAACTTCTGAACCCGAGGTCATCTGGAGGGTGACGCCTCCTCAGGAAAGCGGAGGTGAGGGGAAGGGGGGCTGTGGCCCGCAAAGTCACTTTTTAGTGCCTAGGACTAGGGAAGCCAACTCGCTTTAACAGACTGGAATGAGTCATAAAAGCAGGAAGTGTGTGTGAGCAGGAGGCTGGCTCACGTGTCCAGTCTCTATGAGAGCAGAAAGGAGCCATCGGCCCTGCTGGCCATCTCTCAACAAGCTTAGGATCTAGAACTGAAGAGGCACCTTCGCCATCGGGGTGGTGGTGCCCACTTGGTGCCCGTTTACAAGCCACTGATTTCGGGGTAGAAGCTTTGTAAAACACCTGGTTACGCAGAGGAGGAAGGGGCAGGCTCCCTGGCTGCTTCCCATTGGCCCCAGCCTTGACTTGGTGCCAGGCATGCTCACCTCCATGAACGCAATCCCAGCCCGACCTGTTTGCTGGCCTGGGCCCGGTGGGCTCAACCAGTGAAAAGCCCTGGCAGGACATGGGAGGGAGAAAGGCCATTTCTTCAAGGCTTCCTGTGGCTCTGGACTAGTGTTTACACATCCGTGATTCTCCCTGCCTTGCCCCCCATAAGGCTAAGGAGGCTAGCTCCTTCCTGAGGCCACCCCACTGGCTCCTGATGAGCTCCCCTTCATTTCTTCATCCATTATTGGGACGTCTGAGCTGGTGAACCTCACTGGGCACAGGGGAGCAGGAGCCATGGGATAAACAGTTATCTTAAACACCCTGCCATTTACTGGGCAAAATTTTACCCTGCAACCTGAGAGAGCATGCGTGTCAAACAGAAAATCCACATGCTCTCTCAAAATAAATGGGCCTTTCAAAGCACTCATCTTTAAACCCCACAAGCTGTTTCCTTGGTAGTCCTTTCTCCTTTGTGTTCTACATTCTTCAGGGGCAAAGGTCAGGAAGAGACGCCTTACTGGAAGAAGAGGAATAGAGACCGCTCACCTAGGTCTCCTCTTTGTAAATGGAAGAGTAGAGCGGATGGAGGAGAGGGTCAGTCTTCCAAACTACAGAGGCACCAGCAACACAGTCAGCATGTGGCAGGGAAGAGAAGGGGTGTCTGTGTGTGTGTGTGTGTGTGGGTGTGTGTGTGTGTGGGTGTGTGTGGGGCGCAGTGGGGGTGGGGGTGGGGATATGAGAAGGACTGGAGAGGCAGGAGTGTAGACCAGTGGCCCGGGGCCTAAAGGAAGGACAGAATCCCAAGACAGCAGCCATTGCTAGGGAATCAGCCTTCCACGTGTAGAGGCCAGTACTTCCGTCCTTTTCAAAACGGCCATTCTTCAGGTCAGCCACGCCAATACTGAAGAAGCATTGTTGGCCAGGAAGCGCCATTTATTTAAGGTGGTTAAAGAACAAGTTTACCGCTGGGCAGTGGTGGCGCGCGCCTTTTATCCCAGCACTCGGGAGGCAGAGGCAGGCGGATCTCTGTGAGTTCGAGGCCAGCCTGGTCTACAGAGGGAGTTTCAGGACAGGCACCGAAACTACACAGAGAAACCCTGTCTCAAAAAACCAAAAAAAAAACAAACAAACAAACAAACAAACAAAAAACAAGTTTACCTTCTTCTTAGGCAATGCTAAGCCAAGGGTTAGACACTTAGATACACACACACACACACACACACACACACACACCAAAGGCATTCATATATAAGGAGAACTTCTGGTTTCCTGGGGAGGCAAGGCAGGGGAATGTGCCAGGGCCCCTCCAAGCCCTCACTCCACTCAGATCCCCCCCGCCCCTTCACTGCTCTCCAATATTCTGACTCTGCTAAACTTTTATGTAAACCAGGTTCCAAGGTCCCCACCCCCACCCCCTCCAAAAAATACATTTGAACGCTCCTGGTTTAGATGAACCGTGTGCACACACCAGCTGCGGCTGTGAACAAGTCACATGCTCTTCCCCCTTCAATAGCAATCTGATTATTCTTCTTAAATGCATTTCTAACCTTTAATTCCAGCACTGGGGAGGCAGAGGCAGGTGGGTCTCTGAGTTCGAGGCCAGCCTGGTCTACAGAGCGAGTTCCAGGACAGCCGGGGCTACCCAGAGAAACCCTGCTCGGAAAACCAACTAAACAAACCACAAATGCTTTTCTGTTAGGGGCCAGGAAGCTTGTCCTCCTCACATTTAATCCCAACCAGAATCATTTTCTTTTCCAATCTTTCATTCTTAAAGAGCAGGCAGACCTTGTCAGAGGCAGCGGAGTTAGTGAGAACCAGCCAGCCAGTTTGCTTACCTGCTGTCCCCAGCGTTGGCCACGTACAGCTTTCCCAAGAGGCAGACTACGATGAGCGCTGTGCAGCCACCGGATATGTTATAGGCACTCCTCTCCCGTTCTATCTGAAGGTCCTGGAGAAGACAGGAAAGTCAGTGCCACTGTGCAGGCCTTGGGACTAAAGGAAGCCTTCCTCCCGTCACCTGGTCCGACAATCTCCAAGTCTGGATGTGTTACCAGAAGGGACAGGCTATCCTCAGAACCTGCCCTCCCACCGCCCGAGGCAGTGGTTCTCAATCTTCCTAACGCTGCGTGCGCCCCTTTAATACAGTTCCTCATGCTGCGGTGACCCTCAGCCATGAAATGATTTCTTTGCTACTTCGTAACTGTACTTTTGCTGCTTTTATGATTGAAATGTAAATATCTGAGATGCAGGAGATCTGACAGGTGACCCCTGTGAAAGGGTCGTTTGACAGCCCCCCTCCCAGAGGGGGGGTGCTACCCACAGGTTGAGAACCACTGACCTAATTAATGGGCTTCTCTGGAGGACCTGACACAAACTACCAGACCACTGCAGACCAGAGACTGGAACCAAAGGACCACACGTGGACACACCAGGCAAATATGGGAAGAGGAAAATGGAAATCCCAGTTAACAGGCAGCACAGTTCACGGGAATCTAGTCTGTGTGTGAGTGCTTGTCATGTGGGACACAGAATAAGGCTAGGGATGCCAACTACCTGGACATAAACTATGTTTTTAGAGCGAAGCCTTGAATAAATAGTTCTTTTATAGCTGGATAAAAAGAGGCGACTTAGCCTGGTGGCGGTGGTGGCGTACGCCTTTAATCCCAGCACTTGGGAGGCAGAGGCAGGCGGATCTCTGTGAGTTCGAGGCCAGCCTGGGCTACAGAGCGAGACCCAGGACAGGCACCAAAACTACACAGAGAAACCTTGTTTGGAAAAACTGAGAGACAGAGAGAGAGAGAGAGAGAGAGAGAGAGAGAGAGAGAGAGAGAGAGAGAGAGAGAGACAGAGACAGAGACACAGAGAGACAGACAGAGAGACAGAGAGAGAGAGACAGGTGACTTAAAGATGAACTGTCTGCTATTCAACACAGATGTGTCCGAATGCATTTTCCACCTCTGTAGCCCCAGTTCACAATGGGCCCCAGTTCACAATGGGCCCCAGTTCACAATGGGCCACACTCCCAGTGCTGGAGCAGCCCACAGACACTTTCTCTACATGGGGTGTCGAGCTAAGCACCACACACGTGCAATCTCATTATGGCCTCACGACTGTCATCATTAACTATGTGGCTCGGATGCACAGAGGTGGGGCCACTGCCCAGATTTACCTGGATAACAAGTGGACTCTCCCTCATAGCGGTTCCCTTCCCAAACCCTGCATTACCTGCCCTGTAATGAAGCATCCTCAGAAAAATTAAAATCAGACCAACATTTCTGTTGACAGACAACATCAGAACAATTCTGTGTGACTGAAAGAACCAAATGATCTATGTCTTCGGGGAAACAAGAGTTGAGGGAGGTGTTCCTTCTACACTGGAAGTCATCCACCATTGAGGTGGAGCGAGGGAGAAGGTGGAGGTGGGGTGGGGGGAGTTCCAAGAGGGAGAAACAGGTGCTCTGGCTCTTCTGAGAGGTCCTGGGGACTTCTGTGACTCTTAGAATCGGGAATTGGAGTTAGCTGCTTCCTCTTGGCCTCCTCACAGAACAAGGGGGAATGTTTAGTCCTCCAGCACTGGACTATACCATGGCTACGCTCCTCCATTTACTTACTTGAATGCTGTATAAACCATTTTCTTAAGGGTGATTAAGAGTGTTAAATTAGAAGGTAGAGGTGGAGCTTAGTCACAGCCACAGGGTCCTTCCCACCGTTTGGAAAGTTCACAATTGAGAGCAGTGACTACTTTTATCCCTTTCAGATCCTCAACATCTGTATCAGGCCAAGCAAATACTGGTTAAGTGTCTGTTAAATGGACAAGTGGAGAAATACACTTAAAAAAAATGTCTGGATTTCCAAACATCTCAGCGATTGACCTGTGACAGGTACTATTCACAAATCCCATGTTTACCAGGGCAGATGGGCACTGAGACACCCGTGAGACCAGAACTCTTGCTGCAGCTAAATGCCAGTGGACAAGAGCCAAGGGTTATGATGTCCTGTGCCACAGATGACAGGAAGGTCAAGGTGAACAGTAGGAGGAACCTGGGAGCTGGGGGTGGGGAGGTGGTTCTTTCAAGGGAAGAGCAGAGTGAAAACATCAAGACACCCTGGTCTTTCTGTTTCATTTCTAGAATAAAAAGAATCCTTTGGTGGATAGATTTGTTAGGATTTTTTGACACACACAAAAAAACTAAAGAGGTTGACATAGGCACATTTTAGATACAATAAGTATATGCACATTTAATATATAGTAAATATATAACTTGGTATATCCAAGTCCACATCCAACATTATTGTTTTTAATATATTGAAAAGCACTGCTCTAGCTAGGGAAACTATACCTTCATAGTTGCGATCAGTATTTGTTTGAATATGTAAGTCTGAATGAAAGGCACTATTGATTAAAAACTCCTTAAGCATCCAAGTGTTTGCATGCTGCATAGGGACTGGAATGTGAGTGGTGTTTGACAGGCTTAAGTGAATTATTACTGCAATCCAAAAGCAGGGGGGACCCTATAGTACAAAGAGTCCATGTTAAAGAGCTTGGCATGGCAAAGAATTCCCTAGGGATTGAGGCAAATGATTTTATTCTGGATTGTAGGTATGGGCATTATTTATCATGGTTTCTAATGTAAGAATGTCTGATTTTAAAATTATTTAATCCTTGGGGTGATCAAGACAGTGTTGGACAATAAGACGATCTGTTACAGCACCAGGCTTCATATTTACTTTTAATGTTGGGGACCGTTCTGGTTAGTTTATTCAGCTCAGACCTTAATATAAATTAACGGTATGGTGAGCACGCTCTCTCTCATATACGCACACAATTTACTTACTTCGCTTCCTCCTTTTTTACATTTCAACTGTACATTTTTTTTTCTGCAGTTCCTTCTGGATAAGGTATGCTACTTTCTTATAAAAAAAAAAAGTGGACTCAAGTCTAACTATATTTTAATCCACGAAGCCCTGTTCCCACAGGTATGCTCTGACCACCCCACCCCCCACATCTGGGGGGGATACACATGTGCACACATGGTAATTTCAAGTGTGCTCTCCGCCAGCCCTATCACTGGGATTTGAAAGGCATATTTCTGCAGAATCCATCCCCCTGAAGAATTCACTGACATTAACACACACTCCTCTATTTCTTCTGAAACTGTGTGCAACTAGAACAGATTCTAAAAATAATTGCCTCATTTCCCTCCTCCCTAGAAGCCAAAATAGCACATTTATTTTTTTCCTACACACACCACCTACTCCTCTGTAAAAGATTCAGAAAATCTTTGTACTGAAAGGAACATTAAGGGACCATCTGTGTGGCTCTTTTACTATGAGATTAAACATGATAAATGCAGTCAATAAAGATATATTTACCATGGAATTAACTGCCTTTCCCCTTCAAAATCCTCAATCTTTCAAATTACCCTAAGCCATTTACACTTAAGTATATACATATAAAATCACAATGTCTAACTCTTTTTTTAAGCCCTTGAGTTTTAGGTTTTGTTTTTTTTTTTTCTCACAAGCCAATGTGATCATGAGAAAAGCTGTCGACTGCTGTGTGTTCTAAGCAAGAACGCAAGGACGACCTCTCCATTTTAGCTGCCAGTGAATTCCAAGACATACATCCAGAATAACTTACTGGTAGAATATCTACGTACTATCATTCCTTCCCAGTGTGGTCTAGCTGCTAACAGACCGTTGCATTGAGTCAGTGGTTGACCCGCTCAGTCCAGTGTCCTGCGGCCCCCTCAAAGGCGACATTCTACTGAGCAATACTCAGTTATTCTGTGTTGCAACTGCTTAAACAGCACATTCGGATGAGGCTCATCTCTGGATCCAAGAAAAGAGCCAATTCTCATGATACGGGGTTTTATTTGCCCCCGCCCCTGTTTTTTTTTTTTGGTTGTTGTTGTTGCAAGGAGTGGACACAGATGATACAGAGATATGTGTAAAGTAAGACTCCCTTGACGGGAAAGAATTTCAAGAAAAAAAAATTTATTACCCAGAAGGGTTGTCATTTGATTTGAAAGTCTCAGAGATGATGCAACTCCAGGCCCAGTCTTTGTTGCTCATCAGTTCCAGGTTGTGAAAAGAAAACACTATTGGTCAGCAAAAGAAAGCCACCAACCGGGCAGTTTTAATGTACCTGGCAGCTCCCCCTGGCTGGGTTATAATGTGGTTCTGAGCATACTGCTAATAGCGTCAGTCACAAATAATAAGATTCTGCCTGGCTTTCGTATCCGGGTCTCATCCTGGTTTATTCTGAGAACAAGGCCATCTGCCAGCCAGGCAAGGAGTTTCAGAAGGGAGTTTAAAAAAAAAAAAAAAAATTCAAAAACCAGAGCTGTCCAATACCGCCACCTGTTGACGGCAGGGGAATCCCAGGCTCATCCCTTCCTAAAGGAACTTCGTGTGGCAAAAAAACCAAACAACAACAACAACAAAAAAGACTAGACAAAAACCAAGCTTCAATAAAGACACTTAAGTTATAAACCTACCATGAATATGCTAATTGAAATTCTAGAATTCATAAATCAGCAATAAGCTTGGCATTCATTCTCAAGCTTTATGACGTCATGGTATGTTTTCCCCCCAACCAGTTGTCAGTAATAAGAAGATGGAGAGTTGTTTTTACAAGTTAAAATATTGCCAATTTCATGGCTGAGGAGCTGACTCAGTGGTTAAGAGCAGTGACTGCTCTTCCAGAGGACCAGGTTCAATTCCCGGCATCCACACAGTAGTTTTCAACCATCTGTAACTCCAGTTCCAAGGGTCATCTGACACCTTTTTTGGAGACTGCACACGTGGTGCATAGACATACATGCAGACAAAACACCCATACACACAAAAATAAAAATAAATAAACCTCAAAACCTAAATGCTGTTCTCTCCCTTACAAAAAGCTTCTAGGGCATTCTTCTCTGTGGCAAAGGACTTATACGCATCCTGTTACTGGGAAAATCGGGGCTCCCTTCTGGGTTCTCAGTCTCCTCAATAAAAGAGTTCAGAAACAGATTCAGAAGAAGGAAGCTCCAGGAAGATTTGTTTTTAGACTCTGAGAGAAAATCAACAGGGCAGGCAAGCTGTAAATCTTAGCAGATGATGATGAGGATGATGATGATGATGATGATGATGATGATGAGGAGGAGGAGGAGGAGGAGGAGGAGGAGGAGGAGGAGGAGGAAAATCCATGCTTTTTTGAGTGAGGGTCCAAGGCTGGCATGTTCAGCCATGAAGGCCAACAGCTGCATGGCAGGAGGGGAGGGGGACTTCGGAGAAGACCGAGGGAGCCCCGAGTGTCAGGGAAACACACTTAGGCTTGAGGGAGAAAGCAGATGGAAGAGTGGGTAGGCTGCATGGTGAAGCTCTGTAAGGCCTGGACTCGGGGAAGGGTTTTCATTCAGCACATCATTTAATTAAGTGGACAACCATTCCTTTCATCACCTTAGCACGTCCTCAGGTGAATCCTATCTCCCGTGAGGCAGGTGCTTGGTACCTCGAGCTAGGTTAATTAAGTCTTAGGGAAGGAGACAAGGAATGCAACGTTCTAATGTTCTGAGCAGATGAGAATGTCAACGTCTCCATGCAGGGCCAGAAGTGGATTCCACTCTTTTGGCTAAGAGGAAGGAGCTTAACAGACCTCAACAAACCTGCATCTTTTTTTATATGTTAAGTTAAAATAGTATGGGGGCTAATCTTGATTTTTCCCTTTCTAGGGTTATCATGGAAATGGCAGGTGAGGTCCAAAGTCAGCCATGAGGGAGCGTCCATCGTCAATAGCCTCTAAGCCCAGTAATACCTGCCCAGCTAGCTACCTAACAATACTGGAAGGAAGCAGTGAGGATTCTGAGATTCTCTTAGCTTCACCCTGAGTTCAGATCTTGTAGGCGGTAGGCTGACAGGCTCATCAATGCTGACTTGGTTTCTGATCCTTTGACGGTTACCCTGCTGATGGAATTAACTTCTTCTTTGAGTCTGAAGTGTTGTCCATTCAACCCGACCATTCTTTTTTGGGGAAAGGGTTGAAACTGGACCTCAGAACATTTATCTCATTCACACCTGTCATCTTGGGCCAGGAAACAACCTAGCCAGCAGACCTGAACCCATAAAACTGGAGATAAGAAAGCTGGTTTCAGGGCTGGAGAGACAGCTCTGACTGCTCTTCCAGAGGTTCAGAGTTCAATTCCCAGAAACCACATGGTGGCTCACAATCATTCATCATGAGATCTGGTGCCCTCTTCTGGCCTGCAGGCGTACATGCAGACAGGACACTGTATACATAATAAAGAAATAAATCTTTAAAAAAAATAAAGTTGGTTGCATTTAGAATCTCTAAGAAAAAAAAAAAATCCCAAAATTTTGCTTTGAGACAGAAACCGCCCCCAAAAAACCCGACTACCAGGAGAAGCAGGGAAGAAACAAGGATTTTATAGGAGGTGACAGTCATCTCCAGGCCATTATTTGAGGGTCCTGGCATCGGCTCTGTCTCTATACCATCAGTTCTGATGCTCATCCCAAGCAATCAGTGGCGAAGTTTCTGAGATTCTTCTAGGAGGCCAGAGTTTGTTTTCCACAGTGGAAACAGGAGCAACTGGCTACACGGCCTTCCCGGCAGGAAGTCAGATCCAAGATGGGATTCAACAAAGGAGTTGTAAGGCTAAACCTACCCCTGATAGTACGACATGCCAGTGGTTGGAGGTCCCCTTCCCCATCCATCTCACACTGCGCTGGCAACCTGAGCATCCAAGATGCAAAGACACCGTCCCAGAGGAGCACAGAGCACCTGCTAGAATTGCCGTCACCACCTCTTGTTCAGAGCATGCCTTCTTTTTCCTTCTGTTAGTCTATACTTTGTGAAAACGACCCATGTGCCCTAGCGACAGGTGCTCCCTGTTTTGGCCTGGGATTTCCAAATCTATGTTGGACTTCTGTCATCATTGTATTAGGTCCTTTGACATTCTTTAGAACATGAAAATAACTGAGATCTGCATGGCATGCTGCTACAGGAATTAATAGCCTTTAAAGACACTGTGGGATGGGCAGCATCCTTTCTCCCCCGGCAACAGTGGAAAGGGGGGTGGGGGGACACAACTTCCTTAGGCCTCCTGAGAGCTCTTGTTGGATCTGCTCCAAGGGCAGAACATTCCACACTACTGTCTACTCCCTCAGGAGCAAATCCAGCGGGGCCTGTCAATCATCTGGCCAGGAGACGAAACCCAGGAAATCCAAGTCACATGCTAAGGTGATGGGAAGAATAATTGTCCCCCTAATTAGATAATGAGCTCCTGCATGTCTCAGGGCTTACAGAGCTTCCACGGTGGAGCACGGCTCGGTCTGCCTGCTCTCCTGAGCTCTACTCAAACCTCCCACCCCTCCCCGCCCACTCTGTTTGTATTTTACTTGTTGAATGCCTGACTTTTTCTATTTTTATTCTATGTTCTACTCGCTTTCACACCCGACAAAGAGTTCTCAGCAAATATTTAGTGACGTATCTATTTACACACACACACACACACACACACACACACACACACACACACACGCACGCACAAACGCACACACAACTGTTTCCACAGGGAACTTCGGGCAGTGAACTGCCTAATGTGAAAAACTTGAAAAGACAAACCTTGGGCTCCTTCTTAGGTATTTATCGGAATAAGCTTCCCATTTCAAGGGCTGCTGCAGCAGCTGCTGCTAGGGAGGCCTTCAGCAATGTGACACTGCCCTCCAGTGGGTGGAGTTGAGAAGACAGTAGTTCCAGGCAAAAGATGGTCTGTAGCCCCAGCCGCCACAGATGGTAACGAGAATCCCAAGGTGTCGTCCCCCCCACACCGAGTCCCCATTTTCTGACTCCTTCTCCATTGCAGGGAGAAGTCACTGCCAAACTGTCGCCTCTGTTAAACGTTCCCGAGTTCTGTGCACCACTGCTGCCCAGTCGTCCTCACCAACACCTGAGCGTCTACACCAGCCAGAGGGATGGATAGTCTTCTTATCCTAAGTCTCTGCAGGAGTCAACTTTTCTACCTCGACTCCCGGCTTTCCCCCTAAATCACCTTTTTCAGAAGGGGGTGCATTTTAAACTTCGCACTAGTCAAAGGGCAAGTACACATGTTCAGAGATGAAACCAAACCGAGAAGGGATGAGCTGGAGTCACAAATTGGAGGTATTAAAGTCTTTGGAACCCACAACACTTGCCTCAGTAAAAGGTGGAGTCAGAGGTGAGAGGCGGTCACATGGGATACAGCATCCATGGCAGTCCTGCCAGGCAGAGACAGCCAGGATCCAGGCCAACATGCAGGATGCTGAATTCCTTGACCAGACCCCACTCAGATAGCTAGCAGAGCATAAAGGAATCCAGGCCCTGGAAAAAACAAGCCACGTGGCCCTCTTTCCTTCCCTCAGTTGCCCTCCAGGCTCCTTTTTTTTTTTTTAAGACAGGAATTTATTGTGTAGTCTGGGCTAGCCTGGAACTTGATACATAAACCAGGCTGGCTTCAAACTCATAGAGATCCACCTGCCTCTGCCTCCAAGCGCTGGGCTTTAACTGGGCATGCCACATCAGCCTGTGCCTGTTTTTAAAGGAAGGGTACTGCAGAGTACTTTGATGGACACGGTTTCCCCAACACCTGGTCTTTGTACATGTGTAGAACAGATGGTGGCCGCGCTCACATTCCAATTAAGTTGAACCGTACTAGCTGGTGTCAACAGGAGTCTCATGAAACAGCAGGGATAAGACGCGGCGGGCGTCCTGTGTTCGCCCTCTCCCGTGGTCTTAATTTCTGCTTGGCAATCACTCCAGAAACTGTATCTGGCTGTGACCTTTTTAATAAGCCTGTGGTAGAAGAGATGAGCATTCGTGCAGGAGGCGGCAGGAAGACCCCGCCCACTTCAGGGACATCCTTCCTAGCAAGAACGCTTTTGGACTGAGCTACCCCAGTTGTCCAGGATACATACCATTTCCTTGAAGGCGCTCTCCAGGGCCCCAATGACCAAACACTCATGCGGGATCTTCTTTTCGGTGAAGAAGCGCGTGGGTGGTGTACTGGGGGACCCGGGGGCCCCCACACCTCCACGGAGTGACGCTGCACGGGTTAGGGTCCTGCCATGGGCCGGCGTGCTCTCGGGCTCCTCCCCGAGGCAGGTCGGGGGAAGGATGGCGGAGTTCTTCAGGATCTCCACGATGTCCTGCAGCTGCTGTGTGATATGGTGCTGCAGTAGCCGGGATGCCACCACGGCGGCCCCCGAGCCCGCATGGCCGTCGAACAGGGACCAGTAGTGGCAGGAGATGCCCTCGGACTCCTGGGGAGAGAGGGGGACAGGAGAGAAGTGAGGACCTGGGTCGTAGCCTCTGCCGGGCCACGTTCTTCCAGTTGGATGTCTATCTTTGGTCTGAAAATAATGGAATCAAACACAGGGCCCTCTCAAGTGAGTCACTGCTGTTCCCAACACCCATGGGATGAAGTGGTCCCAGCCTCCCCACCTCGGGCAGGAGGTCTAATCATCAGCCACTAACTAGGTCACCACTTGGAGGAAAGGATGTAACTCTAATTAGGTGCCTAGAGTTTGTGATACAATTCCATATAAAAAGTGGAATCTATAGAAGGAGTCTGGCTTTAACATTTAATTGCTCACTTCCCGGAAATTACAGTCCCAGACTAGGCTTGGCCTTGGCATCTAGAGAAAGCCCTTTCCTAAAGTAGTGAGTAGAAGTGTTCTCCTCTATCAGTGCCTTTACCCCGAGACAACTCTCCCTTTTCCCTTTTCTACATCCTGAGTTCTTAAGACATGCTTCTCCACTAACCCGGAAGCCTAGTCCAGTCCACACAATATGCAACCACTAACAATGTGTTTTCTCTATATCCGTCCCCCTGCCTCAGTTTCCCAACTATGTGCAGCCTGTACTCCTTCCTCTATCATGGACTCAGTCATGCCAGGGGCTACTGTGTGTGTGTGTGTGTGTGTATGTGGGTGTGAGTGAACTCACACATGGAGCTAAATGTGGAGGCTGGAGATTGACACAGGGTGTCTTCTCTTAATGCCCATCTTAACTTTTTTCAAAAGACTGATTTTTAATCAACCAGAGTGTGTGTCTGTTGTGTGTGTGAGCGTGGTTGTGCAAATGTCAGCAGCATCAGATCCTCTCTCACTGCGCCCGAAGGCTGCAGAAACCCGGAGCTCACTTTTTAGCTACCCCGGCTGAGCCGAAGACCCTGTCTCCACGTCCCTCCAGTGCTGGGGTCACACGCCCATGAAGGCACACCCAGCTGTTATGTGAGTGCTGGTGATCTGAAAACAGGCGTTCATGCTTGCACAACCAACACTTGGACCCACCCAGCCACCTTGCTGCCAATGTTCTGAGTTCTTTAAGACGAGCAGTTTTAGAAACCATGCCACTAAATCATACATGCAAGCTAGGTATGGCAGTGGACAGCGGCAGTTCCAGCACTTGGAATGCCGAGATGAATGGGTAGGTGAGTTGAGACCTTGTCTTCAAACATCCCTAGAACACACAAGCATAAGATGCATACGATAGACACTACAGTAGACAGCAGTAATACAAGATTGGTCATAAAAGTATCAGGCATGCTGGGCGGTGTAGTGGGCAGCCATTCCAGCTTTGACCTGGAAGTTCCAACCCCCACTGAGGCTTCGGTAACTGTCATGCCTACAAGGCGGGGCCGAGAGAGGACCCTGAAGACCTGAGATCCAGATGCGCGACGGCTCTCTTGGTTCCTGGATCCTGGACGCTGGAGGTAGACCAAGCAAAATTCTCCAGAGAACACCGCTGGACTGCGCTACGCCTTTCCCAGACCCTGTAATCTATCCCTTCACTTGTGAGTTACCCCACAAAATAAACCTCCCTTTTAACTGCGTGGAGTGGCCTTAATAATTTCACCAATATGGCAGTGGTGGCTCATGCCTTTTTATCCCAGCAGTGGGGAGGCAGAGGCAGGGAGATCTCTGTGAGTAGAGGCCAACTTGGTCAACAGAGCAAGTTCCAGGACAGCCCAAGGCTCTTACACAGAGATAGCCTGGTATTTTATTAATCCAGTGTGAAATCACTCAACTCAATAGGAGGCCAGTGGTACAGGAAGAGGTTCTTGGTGCTGTGAGGCTCGGGCTGAGAGCTTCGGCGAAGTTCGTGTATAAGAAAGGGAGGGGAACACACTAGACAATAACAACAACGGCAGTGCAGAGACCCATGGCCGGAAGGCACACAAGCAAGAGGAAACCATGCCACAGTCATGTGACCCAGTGGGGGCATGGGAAAGGAAAGGAAGGCGAGCCATGTGACGGCTTGGAATGGCAGTAAGGTCACCCAGTCCTTACAGTCTACTCAAAGTGTTTTGGCCTTCAAGCCCAAGAGTCACAAAAGGACGTTCATGGAGATGGTGCCACTCAAGCTATATCGCGAAAGACTGAGAGAGAAGCTTTTGAAAGTGATGAGGGTTCCTGCTAGGTATCTGTGCCCTAACAAGAATTCAAATTCAGACAGGAACACATACACTAAAAGCACTGGAGAGCAGAAGTATAGTCGGAAGTCGAACTCAGAACCGAGGGCAGTGGAAAGGAAAATGCCTTAAGGGTTAGAGGTTTAGATGCTAACACTACCTCCACACACCTTATCTGGGTGGGGGAATGGCACCCAGTTCAGCCACGACTGGGTCAGGCAACGGCGTGGCAGTCAAAAGTGTGTAGCTTATTGCCATGATTTCCTGATACACATTGAAGGTGACATTAACTTCGTCGGGGAGGAGTGAAGGGAACTATAAGCAATGTATGCTGAGTGGCAGCTATGTACATTGTACAAAGCACACACGCAGAGGCGGCCGCCGTCACTACTATCACAACACGATCTTGGTGAGTCACTGACACCTTTAGTTCTCGGCCAAACCGGGGGTCCATCCTGGAGGACCGCCGCCGTGCCTCAGTTGACTCTCCATGTTCTGGAGTGCAGAAACAGATCAGTGTGGCTGGGGAAAGTGGGGGGAAACTTGGCTTTAAAGAGAGAACACATATGATGAGGACCTAGGGGTGACAGGGCCTGCCAGCCTGGGCACGGGGAGTACCGAGTGGTCAGCGATTAGGGAACTGGGAAGACTGCCCATCCAGTCTAGATATCTAGATATCTCCTCTATCTTCCCCTTACTGGTGACTGGGCCAGTGATACGATCCTTACATATCCGCTCCCAGACGGTCTTGCGGCCTGTGGCCATATGGCTTCTCCTCCCCCATTCTTCCTACTTCTTGCCTAGGTCCTAGAATCTGGAAGCAGAGGTAGCCCTTTGCAAGCAAGCAAGCAAGGCTGAAACCTATAGGCGCAGGATGATGGGGCAAGAAGTCAGGAGAGCCTGGGCTCTGGTCGCCTTGCTAGGGAAGCCACAAGCCCTGTACCCTTCTGCCTTTGGGCTTCTTGTTAGGCGGGTTTCATGACATTTGGGCAGCCATGGTTGTCAGCTTCTGTGACAAGAGCTGAGGTCATGGAAAAGACAGGGTGATGTGTTTATATAGTAGTCTGGAACCTACGGCAGGTATAACAGGGAAAGAAAAATACAAAATAAGCCAGGTGCAGGCACCCAAAAGAATGTTAAGTAGGTAGTAAGCTGTGACAAGCTGAACCCAGGCCAGGCTTCTCAATTCTCAAGTTAGGGCCACCTATGAATAGAATTCAGAGCGTCCATGAACCTCTATTTTTCCACAAACCTCCCAAGTTTAGAATTTCTTGTCAGGGCTACAGGGCAATAATGTCCTCAGCAGAACCTTTTCCCCTTGTCCAAAGAACAATAACACTGCCCTTCCAAATACCCTGGATAACTTCTTACCTTACTGCTACTTTGAAGCGACAGATGTAACCAAATTCACACTCAAGTTCTCATTTTTTGTTACATGCATGAAAGGCATAATGTCACATCACAGATACAGTTAGATTTTTTAGAATTGCTTTGACACAATTAATTCCCTTGATATGTCTATGTACTTCCACTTTTTTTTTTCTCTTAAAGAGTTACGTGTGTGCGCGCGCGCAGGTGCACAGATACCACAGTGTGTACATGGAGGCCCGAGGACAATTTTGGGGAGTTGGTTCTCTCCTCCTACCTTGTTGGGCCAGGGTCTCCCTTGTTTTTGCTGCCTTGTGTGACTGAGTTTGTGTGATGGCCTGTGAACTTCCGAGCGATTTTTCCCATCTTGCCACGAGGGTACTGGGATGACAGATGTGCACCGCTGTATCGGGCTTTTTACAGGCGATGGACCTCAGGCCGTCAGGCTTGAATGACAACAAGCACATCTACTTGCTGAGCTATCTTGCCAGCCCTATTTGGTTATCAATTCATTGCATTTGAAAACATAATCTTGGGCTGGAGAGATGGCTCAGTGGTTAAGAGCATTACCGCTTCTCCAGCACCCACAACAGGTAGCTCCTGCGCCACAGGCTCTGACGCCCTCTTCTGGATTCTATGGGTACTTGCACTCACACGTGCACATCCCCACCTGTGACATATATACATCACCAACACCATCATAATTGAAACAAACAAAACAAGAAAAATCCCAACATAATGCTGCGGAGTCTGGGCTAAGTGTCACAGGGCTGCACAAAAAGTTGCAGAGTCCTTCCAGCTGTGCTAAGAGAAAGCACATGGGGAATGTGCCTGCTCAGGGGCAGCAGCCACACTACCCTATGTGGACTGTCTGTGACTAAAAGGAGCCTTTTCCTTTATGAAAGAGGAAGACAGACACCAACCAGGTATTTGATCGGCCACTAGACACCAATAGAGAGACCTAAGCCACCTGCCGGCCATCACCATGGTCTCCAAGAGGGGGAGGTCAGGTCCTTCTATTGGTCTGGATAGCCCTTCCCCAGGGCACAGCAGCCTTCTCTATTGACAGCCTCATAACCAGGAGGGAAGGGCAGAACAAAAGGGATTTTGTTCATTCATCTCACACCTCAAAGGGCCCAGGGCCACTGATGCACAACTCACAAATCCTTCTGCATCCATTTTTTTTTTTCTCAAAGGAGACTTGGGAAAGAAGATTTTTGTGTAAGACCCTTCACACTGAGAAGGCCACCAGGACAACACCAATCTCACTCATGACCTGGAGCTGACTTACTCTGACTATTGTTACTCAGACCTTTTCTCATTCAGCTCTGAGGCTAGGTGTGTTGCAGCTGTATTTGAGGTCTCAAGATCTCAAAGGGACTCCATGGACCCCAAAGCCACATGGCCATCATAGAACCACACTGTCGTCCATGATCCATATGAAGCACACTCATACACACTTCCTGTGACTCTCCCCTC